TCATGACTTAAGCAAAGACAAAAATTGTTCTCATAATTACAGCCCACACCTTACAAATGGCTTCATGTATGGAAAATATGCGCCTTTTTTTTTTGTTTTTTTTTTGTTTTTTTTAAAACTGCTCAGTGGAAAAGGTAATGATGCCATTTCTGACCTTATGTCTCTGGTCGGGACACGGAAAGAAATGAATATACACCAGAAACCAAAGGAAATAATAATAATAATAATATTTTTTATCAAAACTGCTCAGTGGAAAATGTCATGATGGCATTTCTGACCTTAGGTCTCTGGTTGGGACCCTGAAAGAAATGAATATACACCACAAATCAAAAATAATAATAATAATAATAATAAATAATAATTTTTTTCAAAACTGCTCAGTGGAAAATGTCATGATGGCATTTCTGACCTTAGGTCTCTGGTTGGGACCCTGAAAGTAATGAATATACACCAAAAATCAAAGGAAATAATAATAATAATAATAATAATAATAATAATAATAATAATAATAATAATAATGACAGAGTGGGCCAATATCTGCACTAGAAAATCTGAAACTTCTACGGGAAGAAAACCGAAAGAAACTGGTATGAACACTACCCAGACCCGGTTACGGAGATAGGACCTGTTACAATTCTATGGGAATACACAATACACACTGACAGAACAATCAAAGCCAACCGCCCAGAAACAAAAACGGTGCCTCCTTATTGATATTGCAGTCCATGCTGACTGCAATGTATCTTTGAAGATATTCAAAAAGCTGTCAAAATACAAGGACCTTGAAATAGAAATCTCGAAAATGTGGCATATGGGAACATCAACAATCCCTGTTGTAGTTGGAGCCCTAGGACTGGTTGGAAAAGATTGCAGTAGACTAATTAGGGGATTCCCTGAAGTCCATGCCTCAAGGAGATACAAAAAATTGTTCTGACAAGTACAGCCCACACCTTACGAAGGGCTTTATCTATGTATTTTTTTTTTTTTTTGTCAGTGGAAAGTGTCATGATGCCATTTCTAACCTTAGGTCCCTGGGCGGGACTCGGAAAGAAATGTGTAAACGCCAGAAATCAAAGAAAATAATAATAATAATAATAATAATAGACAACTGAGAATGGCCAGAAGTTACTTGACCGAAACGTTGTGTCAATAATAATCAAGACCATTCTTCTTCTATATACCGTGTCCGGTGGGCGATCATGGCTCTCCGCAACTTCCCTTTGATGCTCTTAGCAATATTTGTCACCCCCATCTCCCCGAGACAAGTCCTCCTCTCTAAGAATAAAATAGGAAATAATTAGACGATTTTAAGACAGTTATAAAGACATTTTTCATTTCTAATTTTTCTGCTTATTATTATCTCCATGTATGTCTGTTATTATTATTATTATTTACGCCATTGCTCACCAAATACAAGGCCCAAGAGTCATTCAATGTAGAGAGATACTGAATGATGCTCTGATAAAGGTTGAAGGAGGTAAGAATCGTAGATTACGAGGATATGTAGGATAGACAACGGTTTACGCTTTATAAAGACATTTTTCATTTCTTATTTTTCTGCTTATTATTATCGCCATGTATATCTGTTATCATTATTATTATTATTATTATTATTATTATTATTTCCTTTCTGGCGTTTACACATTTCTTTCCAGGTCCCGCCCAGGGACCTAAGGCTAGAAATGGCGTCATGACACTTTCCACTGTCAAAAAAAAAAAATTACATAGATAAAGCCCTTCGTAAAGTGTGGGCTGTATTTTTTGTATCTCTTTGAGGCATGGACTTCCAGGAATCCCTTCATCATCATCATTATTATTATTATTATTATTATTATTTACGCCATTGTTCACCAAATACGAGGCCCAAGAGACACTCAATGTAGAGAGATACTGAATGATCCTCTGTTATGGGCATAAAAGTTGGGGGAGGTAAGAACTGTAGATTATGGGGATATGTAGGATAGACAACGGTTTACACTGGACATCAGGAAGTTAAGATAGCAATCGCCGGTGAAGCAGCCTCTCGTGAGTCTATTCTACAAATCAGCGGATCTTGGGAAGAAGTTCTCCAAATGAAACATCCACCTTACCAATAATTCGCCCCTGTGTATATGGCATAAGGTCTGAACAGGTAGAACTACGGAATCTAGCTCGTCAGAACATTTTCAGTGGAAACAGCAATAGAGTAGCGATATGCTTGCGACTTTGCGTCTGTGGGGAAAGTGGTTGTAGGGTGGAAAGTAATTCGTTGTGTACAAGGCCATGTGGGATCTGTCAAGGCTGAAAAAGGAGAATTAGGCAGCTCCCAAATTTTCATTTATGATATTGTTCTTGTGGATAATGTTGTTGTTATCATTATGTCCGATAGATGATCATGGCTCTCCGCAACTTCCCTTTGATGCTCTCAGCGATATTTGTCACTGTTGAAACTTGACTAATGCATGGAATAATAATGCAACACAAAATGTACTTAGAACAAAATGTATTGAAACAAGAAAGTGTACACAATATTTACATATAGTCTTTTGTATATTCCTGTGAAGACCGTTCCTGGAGAATGTGTTGACTTCGTCGCAGTCGGGCAGAGTCTCTGGATTGAATCTCTTGATTCCTTCCTCTCTTCCCGGTACCAACCATATTTATATGGTCGGTACTCCACTATGCAAATTAGGTGGATCCTACCACAAAAGTCACCCAGACTCCCTGATATAGGTCTTGTTATCACTATATGAGAAATATGTTTTATATTGTAGACTGATTATCGATAGAATATTACTAACCACACCCCGTCACCGTCAAACGTTTTATCCGGGTGTTATCTATTAACGGGTGGGGGCTTCGTTGTTCGTTTTGAGCACGCATCAGTGGTATAATTGGTTGTAATACCATCCGAATGTGCATTCAGTACGAATTGTTCCCTATTTTTTCTGCCTTTTTTTATAATTTTTTTTTTTTTTTTAGAGAGAGAAACGGATTAAAGTTATTCATTTCATTTTTTTGTGAGGGGTGCGGTGGAGCGGATGCAATTAAGATGGAATTCCATTTTATTTGTCTGCACGGAATGTGCGTTTTTAAAATTTAAATAAACGCCCCCCTTCACACACTCTCTCTCTCTCTCACACACACACACACACACGCGCGCACACACACACTATCTCTGTTTTCTCCTCTCTTATCCCATTTTCGATATTTCTCCTTCTTTCAAATTTCCATCACAGACCGAGCGTTTCTCCGTAGAGTAATGATCAGTAAATAAACCATTCCTATAGCAGTGAGTGTGATCCTCACTAGGTGCAACACACGTGTATCATTAAGCTTATGATATTCTATCAGTAAGCAATGTTTACATCAACTCTCTCTCTCACTTACATTCATAACTGCTCATGGCGTATCAAATGTAAACAAATGACGTCATATATTAAGAAATGGAAGATTCCGCTCATGGAAGATTGAAGTTTATAAGCAGTAAATTCAACCTTGCCAACCGAACGATCCTTTGTGGCCCAGCGGTCAAGGCACGTCAGCGTAAATGACGGTTCCGTATAGGATGCAGATCCTGTCAAAGGCGAATATTTTCTATGAAAATTTCTCGGACATTCAGGCCGGTAAATGTTATTTAATACTGTTTATTATAAACAGAGCATTTACTTAAATACTTGTATCTATAAAAAAAGAACGTTAAACATAAAAATGTCTTTAATAAATAAATTGTCGGACTTTGTCCATTTCTTAATATATAGATAGATAGATATATGTAACATATTATATATATATTATTATTATTTATATATGATATGCGCGGTACTTATTAAAAAGCGCTCAATATCAAAGATAGAGCTAACATATTTGGTTGGATAGATGTGAGTTTGTGACGCTGGGTTTCACGCTTTTGGAATAACCCCAATATACGCAACCTACATGAATCCAAAATTTTTAAAAATTAATCAGTTTGTCTGACGATCGCAAAAGCGGGAAACCCAGGGTCACAAACTCACATCAACCAAGCCAAATGAAATGGACAAAGTCCGACAATTATTTTAAGACATTTTTATGTTTATACATTCTTTTTATAGATACAAATATTTAAGTAAATGCTGTTTATAATAAACAGTATGAACAACATAAAAATGTCTTAAAATAATTGTCGGACTTTGTCCATTTCATAATGTGTGACGTCATTTGTTTACATTTGGATACGCTTTGAGCAGATATGAATGTACGTGAGAAAATCATGGAAAATTGTAGTTTAAAAACAGTAAAATCGACCTTGCTAACCGAAACGCTTCTCTGTGGCGAAATTGGTAATAGCACTTTAGGCTATATGACGGTTCCGTATATAATACAGGTTCGATTCCTGTCGGAGGACGCATATTTTCTATGACAATTTCTCGGACATTCAGGCCGGTAAATGTTGTTAATTCTGTTTATTATAAACAGAGCATTTACTTAAATATTTGTATCCATAAAAAAGAATGTATAAACATAAAAAGTCTTAAATTATATATATATATATATATATATATAGAGAGAGAGAGAGAGAGAGAGAGAAGAAATGAGAGATAGCATCTCCGAAATATCATGGATAGTAACGATCCCCCCATGTATCTCCTACGTTATTTTCCTATCTCTCCCTCTATCTCTCTCTCTCTCTCTCTCTCTCTTTCTGACAGTCTTTCTCTCTGTTTCTGTTTTCTCTATCTTAATTTCTCTCTCTCCCTCCGTACCATTAAATATAATAATCTCTCTCTCTCTCTCTATCTATATATATCTATATATATATATATATATATATATATATATATTATCATATTTAATTATATATATATATATATATATATATATATATATGATCATAATCTTTTTTGTAACAATTGAGGAGCAGTCTGCAAAATTTCGACATGAGACGCACATAAGTCATGAACACATTTACGTCCACACGCAAAAATCTACCGCGCTGACAAACTACAAATCAATCCCCTTCTTTCCCTCTCTCTGCGAACTAAGATCAAAGCAAAAGAAGTAATGGAAAGTAGCGATGATAGACAAGTGCATAGAAAGAAATAATGACAGAAAGAAAGAGAAAGAGAGGGATTTAGAAAGGGACAGAGAGAGGAGATAAACAGATGTCAGACAAAACTTGGTCGAGGTTTATATCTTATTTCAGATTGAATTAAACTTCACATTGAGTTACTTTTCTTCAAGGTGTCTTGGATTGTGGGATCGACTATCGCTAGCGATGATAATTTCTCAGCAAATTTCACTCTCAAGAACACCCAAGTTGTGTCACAGAAGCGCGCGTACAAAAGCTATGCCTGGGTGCGTACGCACACACCTACAGATATATATCCCGAGGTGTTTATAAATTCTACACTGTTCAATAAATTAGCGTTAACAACGAATTATATTAAATTACAAAACTGTACTTGGTTTACAAGAAAATTAATTACAATATAAGACGTTACTTATAAATAATACATTCCTTCTTCCCGCCAATTTTGACGGCACGGGCACACTAATATATATATATATATATATATATATATATATATATATATATATATATATATATATATATGAAGAAATATACTCTTAAGGTGTGCTACATTTATGGAATAAAGTGTTCAATATCAGAGATAGAGCGTGTGTGTAAATATAAAAGTGAACATTGAAGTCAACACTTCATGCTGGAGGCAATCGTCAGGCCACACCGACGATTGCGTTTAGCATGAAACAGCCTGTCGCCTCTAAGTGTTGAGTTCAATGTTCAGTTTTATATATATATATATATATATATAGGTTCCTGAAAAATTAATTTCGGTTGAGCTCTCTGCTGGAGGAAGTGTGGGTTTGTGAACAATGACTATTACGGCTATTATAGCTTAGTCGCTGTATGTTTATCTGAAAATAAATACGCTAAAATTCACCTTCATCCCTGCCGTGCGCTGATGGCTTAGTGGTAGAATGCCAATTCAGTCGGGTTTCGATCTTGGCTAGACGTCTAGCCACACTGAAGAGCTGTGATACAATCTGTCTCTGGATG